TTTACTTACAGTCTCTCCTTCGCAAAACATGACGACGAAGCTACGGGGATAATGCCAAATATGCGATCCCTGGGAGAGCGTCATCAAGCTTTGCCGATCCCTGCTGTGACAATATTTAAATGCGGCTCATACAGGGAACACGAGCACTGTGTAGGCATTCGATTTTGGCTCGTGACAATCAATGCCTCGACATGCATTTGAGTAGTGACTCGTGCTCACGGTGGAAGAAACACATTTATGTGATGACCTTGGCCGCTTTTCCTGCGGGGAGAGAACGACCAGCTGGTGTTCGGAGCACCGTGGTTCGGAGCACCGTGGTTCGGAGCTAGCCTCAAACTAGGAGTAGTTCGTTCCGCGCCGCCACGGAGGGCGCTGAGGTAGGACGTCCCGACGTCCCTCCTCGGTGGCGACGGTGTCGGCGGAGTAGCGTGCTCGCCTTTTTCCCGGTGTTTATCAATTCCTGTTTTGTTGTGAAAAACAGGCTGGAAGAATTTTATTCTTTGTTTTTTCTTCTACCTTCGAGTGTTTCCCATCCCAGCATAGCTTTTATATCTGTAACATTAGCATAAGGGCCATAGTTGTTCAGTACAATGCGCACTGCTTGATTTTGAATTTTTCTAGCTTATTGGTGACGAAGTCGCGATGAGGATCCCACACAACGCACGCGTAATCAAGGATCGTTCTTGGCAAAGAAAAAAAAAGCGTTTCTTCAACGCATCGTGACGCGGATCTAAAATTTCGGCGGATAAAATAAAACATTTTACTAGCTCCTCCGATCGTGCGTTCTATATGGCTGTTCCATTTTAGAGAATTTGCAGATAGCACTCCTTGGTAAACACACGCGAAAACAGTACATAAAATGGTACCGTTAATTAGGTAGCTTTGAAAATCGTGCAGCTTGCTTTTTGAGAAATAAAAATGTTTGCATTTACTTAGATTCAGGCTCATTTTCCATTGATTGCACCAAGAAGATAAAAGGCTTATGTCGGTTTGCAATATTGCAAGTTCGTCTGATATGTTTGTTTTGCTGTATAATACGCAGTCATTGACAAACAGTTTAATATGAGACTGTATATTTTCGGTGATGTTATTTATGTATATGAGAAAAAGTAAAGGTCCTACGACACTCCCTTGTGGCACACCCGACATAACCCTAGTTGATGTGGATATGGTACCGTTTAGGACAATACCCTGCTTTCGACCTTCTAAATAATCTCGTTTCTCGTTCAGGACGTTTGGATCTAGGTTTAGTAAAGCCAAATTATACAAAAATAACTTATGTGAAACATTATCAAATGCCTTGGGAAAGTCTGAGAACACGCAGTCGACATATTGCTTGCTGTCTAGTGATCTGGATATCAGATGACAAAATTCTACCAGTTGTGTGTTGACAGAGTAACCGCTTCGAAAACCATGCTGTGAGGGAGAAAACAGGTTTTGTCAAATCCAGGAACGAGTATATGGTTACTATAAATAATATCTTCAAACAACTTACGCGAGACCAATGTTAACGAAATAGGGCGATAATTTTCAACACTGGATTTAGACACGGATTTAGAAACAGGCGTGACGTTTCCCATCCTTCATCTTTCATGTTTTTTAAAGATTCGCTGAATATAACAAAAAGAGAACGCACTACAGATTGACTGCACTTAAGAAAAATAACAGGGGCATTGCCGGCAGGTAACAACGGCCTTGGTTGTATCAGTTCCGCGCAGCAACTTCACGATATCGTTCGTGTCAATTGTAATGCTTGGCATTACGCTTTACTGTGTTTGGTAAGCCACTGGAGATACTAGATGGGGAGGCTCTTCCCAAAATACTGGCTTAAAACAAGAGTTAAAACATTGTACCATCCCGTTATCGGATACCACTGTACCACCATCAACTGTCAACGCAGGAACAGAAGTGTCTTTCTTTTTGTTCGCATTAACAAACTTCCAGAATGCTTTAGGGTTTCTTTTTAGATTTTCGTTAAACTTGTCAAAGAACACTTTTTTTTTTTGCATTTTAAGAAGCTTATTGATTTTTTGTACTTGTGCTCAGTTTGGACTGACCAACTTTTGGAAATCTTTTTGTAAGCACGTCTTGCGTTACCTATAAGCATGCGAATTAAACCATGGTGTATATTTTTACGCCTCCTTATTAGTTTCGATGGAATATACACCTCCGCTATCTCTAGCACTTGGTTTTTAAAAGCATGCCATATGGTTTCAACGTCACTATTATTTTACAGACGACTGAATGCATAAAAATAGGATTCTGAGTTCTGCATTGATCGCGTCGTAATTGCCTTTGTCGTACAGAAACATTTTCCGTGAACATACCGCTTGGTTTCGCGATCTGGGCTTCGAGAGCTTGGCAACAACCGCGCAATGATCACTTATGCTGGGAAGTATAGTGACCTCGACTACAACACCAGGAAAATTTCACAGATCCAAGACAGCATTCCCTCGCGTTGGTTTTTTAACCTTATTGTTCGATCCCAAATACACCAATCATGTCAGCATACATTGTGTAAGCGCGGTGCCCATCTGTAGCAAGGACTTCATCAGACCAATCGAATCCTGGCAAATTGGAGTCTCCTCCCAAGAATAGGCTATCTGGAATTGTCGTCAACAAGTTACGTAGTTTGTCTACCGAGTTCGCATCTATCTGGGGGGCGATAAAATGTACCAAAAACTAAAGTGTTCCGTTTAGGTAAAAATACACGACACCATACAGACTCAGTGTTGTTTTCGGAGAAAACGATTTTACTGCTACTCCAGTGCAATGAAATTAGCAAGCACACACCACCTCCGTGTCCATTTCAGTCTTTGCGGTATACAGTAAAATCAGGGGGAAAAACTTCGGAATTAGAAACCGAGTCCTGTAGCCATGTCTGCTCCCCTAATAACTTTGGGTTTGATTGTCTAGAGCTAGGAAATCGTCCACTTTATCTTTTATGCTACGGAAGTTCACGAGTAATACCGAGGCGTCTACATCTGATAAAGCGGCATTCTGACAGAAATTTCTCGCACTGCGTCAATCCTGCTGAATTGTTGCAGCCTTTCTACGAACGAGGACAGTCGTGCTTTGTTCAAAATACCAGGCGTACGTGTCCCCGTTGATAACCAGCTTGTCGTAGGTAAGATATACTTTGTTGTTCTTATCTTGTCTTTTTTCTTTTGAGTAGTCCCATAGCTTGCGCCTTTTTTCTCTGACGAGTGCACTGAAATCGTCGGAAAAGCTGTAAGCAGAGTTTTTGAATTTAAAGGCGTTGCGCATGATGTTAAAAACATTGGCGCACATAATCGGCTCCAAATCACGTGGCCGCTTTTTCCAGCTGCGACTTTAGGGGGTAAAGGGTGTTCTTCTAGAGTGCAGTTATTAGGTGCCCGTTTTCGGCTTGAGCGACTTTGCCGTCGCCGTCACCGCCGGGGCAACCGCGCGTTGCATTATAGGAAACCTCCCATAATGACGTAACACGTGACGCCACGTGTGACGTCACAAGGGTCACGAGTGACGTCATAAGGGTACCGCGCGTTGCATTATGGGAAACGTCCCATGATGCAACGCGCGGGACGAAGGTCACTTTTGAATATCACGACGAAGGTCACGACCTTCACTGTGAAGGCCACGATCCTCACGAGTGAAGTCATGAGGGTCACAAGTGACGTCACGAGGAGGGAGAGAAGGAGAGGGAACTGGAGGGGGAGGAGAGGAGGAGGAGAAGGAGATAAGGAGGAATGAAGAGGGGAGGAGGTGAGGGGCATACCCTCCTTTCCGTACCCTCCCCTCCTCCTCCTCAAAAGCTGCGCTCTAATTCGGTATTACAGGAAGTTGTAAACGTCTTTCACTTTTTTTTCAGTATTTTCTACGACTGATTTTGCGTAAACAAAACAATAGCAAGAAAAAGAAAGTGTTTTATGGGTTATTAGCGGCGAGATGTTTTGGTGGCGCCCTCCTACGGTTCCCCCTTGTGACGTCATTGCCTCGCGAACAACAAGTTCGATGGTGTTTGTAAATAGCATGGTGGAAGCCTGAAATCATTGCGCTCTCAAAGCAACACTGACAATACCGTCGAAATTAAAGTTCTTTCATTCCTCTTATTTCCGTCGATGGCATACCCTTTCCGACGTCATAGTCAGCTTTTGGGCCAATCGTGGAAGGCCGACCACAGCGACGCTTTCGGTCGCGCACGTCGACAATAAATGTCAAAAACAATTCTAAACTGTATTTATCGAAGGCACACAAATTGTTTCATCGCTCCAAATTTAGGCTCACGACCTTTTCCGAAAATAAGTCTGGCCAGCTCAATAACTAGCATCACCTAAGTGTATAGCATCTGTACATGCTATGGCTGCCTTGTGATGGCAGAGGAATTAAGAATTTGAAGACAGGCACCGACACGGAGCCTGAACCTTCCATACGTATAGTCCGCTTTACTATTGTTCGATGTCAGCGTGACTAGACTTACGAGCTTCTGTGCGCCTCGCATTTTAGGGTGTCATAGGAACCTTTGGAATACTCAGCTTTGGCACGGATTAAGCCTAGTTCACATGCAGCGGTTTTGGCCCTAGAGCGGCGCGATTTCTGCCGTCGCGGCGCTCTGGCCAGCGCCAAGAATTCTGCGGCACGAGCGCCGCGACGGCACAAATCGCGCCGCTTTAGGGCCAAAATCGCTGCATGTGAAACACGCTTTAGAACACTCACGACAATAATTTGTAGCGAATGTTATCGAGAGATTTACTCAAGTTAAACTGAAGTAAGCTTCTCGTACAGAGTGATAGTGCCTTGACACCATTACAACTAAAATGATTGGAACAAAGAAAGAATCGTACAGCGAAAAGCACCATGACTTTCGTATATCTGGCATTGAAGAATAGATACTAGATTTTAAACGCCATTGGAATACAAAAAACTAGACTGGTATTTGAGCCGCTAGATGACACAGCATTTCTGAAAGGGTCTATTGTCCCACTGGGATGGTCATTGAAAAAGAAAAGAGGCATCCTCACCTGTGGGGCAACCGCGACAAATTCGGCGATGCTTTCGTTGGCGCTACAGGTGGCATTGATGTCTCCGCTGATGTTAAGAAACCTCAGGCCAAAGAGGGTTCCGGCGGACAAGCTGAAGGCTGGATCGTTGGCGTCACGCAGGGGCAGCTCTTCCTTTACGTCGAGTGCGGCAAAGCCCACGAGAAGTAGTCTCCGTACGTTGTTGACGTACTCATCGCTGCACGTTCCGGTCGGGACACTTGCATGAGCTGGAACGCGAGGAAGACAGAGGGCACGTCGTCAATTGCGGAGTGCTCATCTCCGTTTCAGGTTAGCTAGGAGAAGGGCGAAAACCAAGGCGTGCTAAGCCAACCTGAACAAACAAACAAACAAACAAACAAACAAACAGGACTGACGCAGGTGACAGTTCTGCACGGGAGAAGTGGATTCAAACAGTGCGTTTCTACGTGCTTCGATTCAATGTCCTGATCGGCTTGTGAGGACTTATCCACCAATTATTACGTTATCGAATAAAGGCGGCAGGGCCTTAGGTTGGTCTAGTTGGTGCATGCCTTATCAAAGGCTAAACAGCGGTGATAAAGACGAAGGACACAATCAACATATCTGTGCATAAAAGGAGCTCTACATAGACGCTGCGTTCACTTCTTTTATTCGATTGGCTTCGCATCATCAGTATGGCAACAGGACAGGTAGATGCCACAGTGTATCCTCGTGTATAACGCCTGCTTCTTTGTAGGCTTGTCAATGCATGCTTCAGAGGCCTGACATCTCGGCAAGACAAAAAATAAACTCGTTAGCAATGACCGCTCCTAGAGTCACTGAATGTTCCTCAATGTCACTGAATGTCACTAAATGAACATTCAGTTACTTTAGAAGTTCCATTGACCGATCTCACTAAGCGTTCCCGTATGCGTGACGCCGCCATATTTGCAGTCTATACAATTGGCAGGCGCGCCAGTTCACGAGACAGTTCCTGCCGCTTCGTGCTCTGCTCGCGTGGACCCCTAGCTGGGTTATCGTTCGTGCAGCGTATTTATTCTGTACTCTCGTTCTTTTTTCATCTATGGACGATTCTAGAGCCACTAAAGGAGCCACTCTTAAGGCCGGTTCAGACACTTGCGTTTGAGTGCGTTTGACTAAGGTGCGCTTAGAACCGAAAGCGAATCACCGGCACATCTGTGCATCGTATGAAGCGCGGAATCTAATTCAAGAAATCATATTGGCACGCGATATATGCTGCAGGGATGTCCTGGTTTCTCGCAGACGCAACGCAGTCAAACACAGTCAAACGCAACTGTCTGAACCAGGCTTTAGACTATCGGCACTTTGTTCCCCGATGTTGCTGGTGCCACACCGGCCCTCCCCTCAACTTACTAATGAGAATCACTGACAATCATACCTGTAAATCATCAAATGTGATATACATTATTTTCTGCACACTCTGTCCAACCTTTCGTTCATGGAGTCGGCGGTCAGTTTCGCGGATAGATAGATAAATCGGCAAAACTGAGCGCCGACTCTATGAACGCTTCCAAGAACACCGCAAAAATACTTGTTACACTAGAAAGAGCGGGTCAACTTAAACATGGCCTCCACGGACACTTATGTAAACACTTCTTCACGAATCATTCTGAACTCCACTTGCGAGAATGCGTCATCAAACCAGGCTTCCACACCCCCATCTCACGCAAAAAGGAATAGGTTAATTTTTAACTAAAGACGAAATTCCCTTCCGGCCTAACAAAAAACCTTTTTTTTCGGCTATTTGCCCTTTCGCCCGCTCTTCTTGACGGAGGCTTATTGCAGAAAAGGCGCCGTGCAACCGAGCTTTCGGTTGCACGTGAAAAGATTCCCAGGTGGTCAAGATTAGTCCTCAGTCCTCCGCTGGGGCGTTCCAGATGCCCGTCGTCGGTTTGGCACGTAAAACTCCCAAATTTGACTTTTTTCGTCCGCTCCTTTCTCTCTCTCTCCCTTTTTAATTTTTTTTGGTAATTTGGGTGGTCACGCGGGGGGCGCTAAGCTTTCTTCTTGTCCACATTCCTTCACCTATTGACTAGAGATCTCTTGCATCGTACTTGACATCTTTTCCCCCTCCCTCTCTGACTTCATGACGCCACACCTGTCAAACGTGTTTTCTCCGCCTACTTCGATCTGCCATTTCCCATTTTAGTATACCTGAAGAAGACCGTATGGTCGAAACGTTGTTCCCCTCCTTTCCTCTGGCAGTTCTCTATGCCTTCACATCCCTTTTGATATACTAACAGTGCCCGCCAGAATAATAATAATTGGTGAGAACTTCAGCTTGGGCGAGTCGGTAATTCATGATAATGCTTCACAGCGCACAAGATCAGACACACTTAAAAAGGAAAATCACGCATACACAGGAAGAACACTCACGCAGCGCTGACTGACAACTCAAATGTATTATGCCTCATCTTCATCTTCACTCACTCCGATGCAAATGACAGTGAAACAAAAAATCAAGGATCATATGAAAAAGAGAAAAGGCAAGAACAGAAAAAGGATTAAAAACAAAATATAGAAGGAAGAAAAATATAGAATGAAAAAAGTAATGAATTCCCTGTACAGCGGACGTTGCTACTGTGCTTTTTCTATATAGTTCAACTCTTTCTCCGTTAAGGCTAGCGAAGGAGTGCTAACACATATCTTATCTAGCCTTACAATGTTAGCGGTTTCTACTATTTCCCGCGTCGTTTTGTCCCTGCTCTGTCCCAGTATGGTGCATTTCTCTAGGAGGGGAGAACATCCACACGCTCTGCAGTGGAGGCCTAAATGACCTGAGTTGGCATTTATGGCATTGTTGTGGTGCTCACGAAGTCGGTCATTTAGACAGCGACCCGTCTGTCCGATGTAACACTTGCCACATGTGAGGGGGAAGGAATAGATGACTCCCTCAATGCAGGACACGAACTTGTTCAGGTGGTTTTTGATACATCCAACTGGTCGACTAGATGTCCCATTGACCTTCTTGCACAAGCTAGAAAGTCTATTTGGCGCGGAGAAGACAACGTCTACGTTGACTCTATTGGCCATTTTCTTAAGCTTGTGGGATAAGTTGTGGATGTAGGGAACTATGACAGGCCTTGTGGTGCGGTCTCTGGTTCTGCGTGTTATAGCTCCTTCCTGCTTGACCTCCCTGAGTAGGACTTCGGCAACGGAAGTTAATAAAGACGGGGGGTAGCCCGCTAAAACCAACCGAGAAATTTGCATGTTGAAACTCGTAGGGACTGTGTGTTTGCAAGATTTTTCCAGAGAGTTTTTTAGGCACAGTTTTACAATGCCTCTTTTTACAAGCTTAGAGTGGGCGGAGCTATGGTTCAGGAGAGGCTTCTTTGCTCGAGGTTCGTACGACCAGCAGGTGTGATTGCTTTCAAAAAATAGTCGTAGGTCCAAGAATCTTATAGATCGCTCAACCGGAAGCTCATGGGTGAGTTTTAACGGGTGAAGGCAGTCCTTGAAGGTGGACAGAACACTGGCCACTAAGTCGGGGAAGGTTCCATTGTTACTGTCAAGTAAAATCAGGTAGTCATCCACGTACCGAAACACACGCACTACTTTGGACTGGTCAAGGTTATGCTGCAATAATCTGTTATGAAATGCCAGATAAAGGTCACTGAGTACGGGAGCTATACAAGAACCAATACATACTCCCGTTTTCTGCAGGTATGTTAAGCCTTCCCAGGTGGCAAAAGTAGAATTCAAGTAGGTGGTTATTAAATCTAGGAAACCCTTGACTGAGACGCCTGACGCGTTTTGAAAGGCTATGACACCAAAGGAGTCAACACTTTCTTCTATGCACCTAAGAAGACGGTCTTGAGGGAGGGCATAATAAAGGTCTTTGACGTCGATGGAAAAGGCGTTGAGACTTCTATCTGTGACATCATGGAGGAATTGCCAGACCTCATCTGAGCTCCTAATCAGGTAGGGATCATTGATGTCAAGAAGGTTTAGTTTGTCTTGGAGGAACACTGCGATGGACTTTTGCCAAGTGCCTCGTTCAGACACAATGACCCTGAGGGGGCAATCAGTCTTGTGCGTTTTTGCACTGAAGAAAATCTCAAGGCTGGATAATTTGCTTTTGTCGATGGATGAACAAAGTTGCTTGAGGTCAAGAGAGCTACATAGCTTCTTGGCTTGGCTTTTGACCTTACTTAAGGTGATATCTTGATGGCAATGGAAGACTGACTCAATGGCCGTTAAGGCCTTATTGCCAAACAAGGCCTTGTGCATGAGCACAAAACCGCCTTCTTTGTCTGCCGGCAGGAGAGATAAGCTATGCCCTCTTAAGTAGGTTTCAACCCTTTTAATGGACAGTGGGCTGATCGGGGTTGTATGGCGCGAGAGAATGTCCACTCCTTCTGAAATACATCGATCATTTTCCGTATTGGAGGCTCGCTGTGAAACTTGCCTGACCAAGGAAAGTAACTCAGGTGCCGACTTGCGGGGTTCAACCGCGAACTTAGGACCGAGGCTGAGTACCTGCTCAACGCTTGGTGGAAGAGGGATGTCGCCTATTACATGCAAAGGTTGGCTTTGGTGTCGTGTCTTTTGAGGAGTAAGGGATCTGAGATGCTTCAAAGTGAGTCGCCACAGATATTCGGTTGTGCGGTCCATTAAAAGGGTTGAAACCTACTTAAGAGGGCATAGCTTATCTCTCCTGCCGGCAGACAAAGAAGGCGGTTTTGTGCTCATGCACAAGGCCTTGTTTGGCAATAAGGCCTTAACGGCCATTGAGTCAGTCTTCCATTGCCATCAAGATATCACCTTAAGTAAGGTCAAAAGCCAAGCCAAGAAGCTATGTAGCTCTCTTGACCTCAAGCAACTTTGTTCATCCATCGACAAAAGCAAATTATCCAGCCTTGAGATTTTCTTCAGTGCAAAAACGCACAAGACTGATTGCCCCCTCAGGGTCATTGTGTCTGAACGAGGCACTTGGCAAAAGTCCATCGCAGTGTTCCTCCAAGACAAACTAAACCTTCTTGACATCAATGATCCCTACCTGATTAGGAGCTCAGATGAGGTCTGGCAATTCCTCCATGATGTCACAGATAGAAGTCTCAACGCCTTTTCCATCGACGTCAAAGACCTTTATTATGCCCTCCCTCAAGACCGTCTTCTTAGGTGCATAGAAGAAAGTGTTGACTCCTTTGGTGTCATAGCCTTTCAAAACGCGTCAGGCGTCTCAGTCAAGGGTTTCCTAGATTTAATAACCACCTACTTGAATTCT